TTGTTTTGACAATGGGGAGGGTCTTGGCTCTCCAAACCAAAGTCATTGGCAAAGTGTGGCAAAGGCAGGAAGAAGTTTTTTTTTTTTTTTTTTGGAAGCACTTTGAAGTGACAAGAGAAATACAAAACAAGGTGCTAAGCGATTATTGAGTGGAAAGACTGTTTGCTCTCCATTTACTTTTACAATCATTCAAAAGCAAAAGCAGTAGGCCGAGCATGTTGCGAGCCGAGCTATCTTAGCATAATGTTAGCAATTTGAGCTAATATGATCATATCGTCATTGTACAGTTATAAGACAGAGGGCTTTGATGTTTCAATCAACCATAACAGTGGCATTACTAGAATCATTCAAAATATAGGCTCAGCACGTTGCCAGACTTGTTCGCACTACATGATATCAGCATTTTGAGATCACAAGTACATATCGTTAATTTGAGTCATGCTGTTGCTGTTCTGTTTGCTATTTCAGTCATTTAAAAGCAAACCCCCCCCCCCCCCAAAAAAAAAACAGGAAACAGGATTGAGCTTTTGGGGGACTACGTTTTTGGAAAGAAAAGACCACAAATGTCGCTGCACTGTGATTGGCCCAAAGATCAAAGCCAACTACCCAAAGAAATGACATGTCACTCACTCCGAGGCTTTCTTTGAAGACCACTCTAAGGACGAAAACATGTGTTGTGTATTATGAGAAGGTTTAAAGAACCTTCGGGATGCACTTATTTACTCTGGGAATTTCAAAGTAAATGTTTGTTTCCCCCCTTTGTTCCTTTCCCTGATTTATTTATTTAGTTTTACCCTATGAAAGACAAGGCGACAATTTGAGCAAGAAAAAAAAAAAGTCTAGAGGGGGAGAATGTTGGAGTTCAATAGCATGATATTTTCCTAGAAAAATGCACACGCCACAAACACTCAATTGCAAAGACATTCATTGACATGCAAACACACTCAGGAACACGCACACACACACACACTTTCACACCCACATAGACCAAGACACTGACTTGTGTGTGTGTGTGTGTGTGCGTTCGAGATATTACTATAATTTTGTGTGTGTGTTTGTAGTGGGGCGTCGCTCTCATCTCATTTACCGGCTTAGACAAGATCTCTGTCTCACACACACACACACACACACACACACACACACACACACACACACACACACACACACACACACACGGCCGCCTCATGTGGTGAAATCTCTGTGGATTATCCCCAATAACCTGTTTAACTTAATCCTTATCGCAAACACATGAATAATAAATCCACTCCTCCTCTCTCCTCCCTTTTTCCACTCTTTCACTTAGCTCTCCATCATGCCCCCACCTCCTTCCTTCCTTGCATCCCTCCCACCCTCTCTCTCTCACTCTCCTTCTCTCTCTCTCTCTCTCACACACTTGCTCCATCGTTTCTACCAAGCGCACCCCCCAAAAAGAAGCTCACTGTTACTGCGTATGCTTGGTGGTGGTGGTCTTTCCCTCCAGGACAGGAAGACGAACAGTAGCAAGAGTGGACACAATAACAGGAAGAGGAAGTGGGCAGTGACCTTTTTTTTTCTCTTTCTTTTTTTGTGGTTTTGCGAAAGACACTAAGGGTAAAGTACAATCTAAGGGGAGGAGAGGAAGGAGGAGAGGAGGAAGAGGAGGAGGAGAACCTGTTGGTGCTCCCAAAACATACCTCTGTTGCCCTCTGGGAGTGCATTTGGCTGGTGGTCAACACGTATCTTGGAGAATTGCGAGTCTTGGAAGGAAGGTTGATAAGAAATCAATTCTACGAGAGGAACCATACGGGACTGGGAAGGATTCGCAAAGGATTTGCGAAGGATTCGGGGGTCTCGGACACTAAACACTGAGAGGTAAGAGTTTAATTTTGCTCATGGGGTACTTCATTAGGGACACGTGCGTAGTCAGTTGGCATCCAATGGCAACATTATGCCTTTGATGCTGTATATTTTACAATATTGTGATATTTAAAAAAAAATAGTGACACAGAGATCTTGTGATAATTGGACTCACAGGGGCACTTTATTTGGCACCCTTTCACAATCTGATGACAACTAACCCCCAAAAAATAATTTATTGGTTTCCCACAAAGAGCCAAAAGTCAAAACTTTTGCAAAAATTACACGCTAATCACCCAATTGCACTCACGGACACTCCATTGGGTACACAGCCAACACAAAAATTCAGACTTTAATCCCATTAAGGGTAAAAAATGTTGCGATGCCATTCCATCAAAAATATTTAGCCATGGATAATAAAAAAAAAAAGAAAAACCTTGGATCACTCAAGTGTAGGTACTATGGTAGTTCCTTGGGCCCCAAGATACCACACGATGGCGCCACATCTATCTAATTTTTCCTGTTAGACATGGCTTTGGCCCAAGCAAAAAAAAAAAAAAAAAAGAGCAAATAAATGGATGAGGATTTCAGCAAAACAAAGAATAGGTGCTTGAAATAAATATGAACAGGCAAATATTTGAATGACAAATCATGAGCAGGAGTTCACTATAATCATGCTAACACTTGATGAATTTTCTTTTACTCATGTTAGATGATTTTGATTCTGGTGTTGTTGCTTCTTGGAACTATTTCGACCCTATTCAAAGTGGTGCCAATTCAAAACGGCGCAGTCCCGCTGTTTTGCGCAAATCTAGCCACTCAGTCGACGATGTGTTACCATCTGACGAGAAAGGAAGTTTTCAATGATTTTTTTTTCCAATTGCAGTATTTGCACAATTTATTCATCCCCTCTCCTCCTCTTCCTTCCCCCGTCTATGGATTTGTGTCCGGGAGGGAGACAGAGGTGATTTGATTTGTTGTTCTGCTGCATCGGAAGCCATCCATGCAACTTAAGCCATTGGTCTAATTCCTGGAGAGGCAAATATGAGAGGGGGGTGGGGGGGGGGGAAGTAAACTGAGAAAATCCTTTGGGTGCCATCTGGGAGACTTGGTCGTCCCGCCGTTACACACATGCACAGACACGCGGGCATGATTAGAGGCATTCATTCATTCATTCAGATGGATGTCAGAGTGCTTGACAAGCTGTCCAGCTGTGACGATAGCGGTTTGGCAAAAGTCGCATGCTGATTGCTTCAGGAAAGATCAACATTGACTTTCACTGACATTTTGCATACAAAAGAAGAGTAATAATAATAATAATAATAATAATAATAATAATAATACATTACAAAAACTAAAAAAAATGCAAAATATTTAAATTAAATGTTATTGTGACAAATTACATATCCATACAATATAAATTCATGAAAAAGATTACAAATTTTTTGAAGTTCATAGTTGAAAAACCCCATTAAAAATGTAAACTGTTTCTAAAACAAAGTCTTTCATGCTTTCATGTTTTCATGTGGTCTTGTCAGCTTGCCTATACCAAGAATGCATCGGTTGGTGACTTATGAAGGTTTGGCTAGGAAAATATCCCAAGATGCATTTCGTGCTGCTACCAGGGAAATACGTCTTTGGCCCATTGGCTGTGTATATAAATAGTCCATGTCTACCTCGGTCCTTTGTCAGATAATCTCGCACCCTGCCACTTATTGACCCAGCCCTTGTTTGTAAGCTTGACCTTTTTCATGCTACAGGGAGTCCATGCCTTTTTGTTTCTTGTCTTCCTAAGTTAGTTTTTTCCTGTTTTTTTGCTCTTATATTTGTTGCTACTTTTGTCTCGAGTTTTATCCAGCTTTGCTGAGATTCTAACTTGTTACTTCCTTGTACTGTATAGTTGTTTTTTTCCAGCTTTGCTGTGATCTTTTGTTGATACTTTAGGATCCCTGTGTTCCGAACGGCGGGAAAGCTCGCATGACAGTATTATATACTAGAAGACCTGACCAACATGACATGTATAATAGATGTGGAATTTGACACGGATCAAGGAGCATTTACTCTAAATGGCTCGAAATTTCTATAAGTTGTCGATAATGATGTCCATTCAATTGCCGAAAGTCCGTCTAAAGATGGATAACCATTATTCTCACCACCATTCTGCACACCAAAAACTCTCAGTTCCATTCATGGGCCATAATTGGGCTCCATTAAAAGCTGACCGAGGCCGTCAATTATGCCCAGATGACGGCCGGCTATTAGTGTCAGACCAAATGACGGTGACATTGCCCTGGACAACCACCACGCACTCGTCTGACTTGACAGAGCGCACTCTATGAGTGTGTGTGTGTGTGTGTGTGTGTGTGTGTGTGTGTGTGTGTGTGTGTGTGTGTGTGTATGGTTGCACATGCTGGTGTGACTTGCAGGCAGACAGATTGTTTGAAGCTGCTTTGCGATTAAACCTGTTTTAATCTCAACACACTCACACACGCTTACAGTTGTCAGAGGGTAAAAGTGGAGCTGTGTCAAAAGCAGCTTTGACAACCCAAAAAAAAAACAGTAGCGCCAAAAAGCATCACTTTTAATTTGATTTGCTTTTGGAGTATTGGCAGCCAAAACTGTCAAAACTTCTTTTAGGCCATAAATGTGCACCAAACATTTCATCCTAACTTAACCAAATTGAATTAGATTGTACATTTGACATCTCGTGGAAGAGCATTTAATTGTTCTGCCTGTCCCAACAGGTCGCTAACATATGATACGACTAGATAAACAAAGAGAACAAATAATAATCTACAGACCAACTAAGTGAAATTGAATCATTTCCCGTGGCACACAAGATGATCTTTGGAGGCCAGGGCCTAATAGCTGCCTCATCCCTCTGCAGTTAAGTAAATAAAGATTAAATGCGAATTGAAACTTTTTCTATTGTGTTCGAGAGCATGTGAGATGGCAAAGTTTTGCCTGGTTTTTGTTTGCTGGTGTAGCAAAAAGTAGGTCACCGTTGTCTGCCACTCACTGGCAGTGAGGACTGAAAGCGTGTCGTCGGCGTGATTGTCTGCTTGCACAAGCACTTACGCACGACACAGCTGCAGCCTGCGGACAACGCTCAGATGTAATTACAGATATTCCTGGAACCTGTTTATTCTTTTGACACCTCTATGGTAAATAAGGTGAGGAGGATGTTTTTTTTTTTGTAATTAACGAGACCTTAATCACCACCCAAAGTGTGAAAAGACACCCAGCCGGCGCAACAGCACAGGTGCAAAATCTCTTAGCACGTTACCATAGATAGATACAGACAGTATATCCTACTAATGATCTTCTTCTTGGTAGTTTGAGCAACAATTTCATAAGAACTATTAGCAAAAGTGAACTACTGCACAGCATTAATACCTCAAATACAGGATATGGGACCCCTGTATTACAGATTTTTTGTTGGCCCTACCCTCCTTTGACGTTTGGATTTATGTTCAAATGAGCCGAGGATCTTCATTAAGACAAAAATGGTGTTTTCCTGCCATCCTGTGGCATGTTGGTGCCAAAGAACTATGTTGAATTGGGTGGAGTGTCTTTATTTAGACAAAAAGATGTGTTTTCAGGCCATCTTTGGCGTGTTGGTGCCAAGGAAGTATACTAAAGTGAGTTGAGGAGCTTCATTAGGACAAATTTTCTGCTTTGCCACATCTTGTGGCATCTAGGTATGAAGGAACTGTGTTGAAGTGAATTGAACAGCTTCATTTAGACAAAAAAAAAGTTAATCCTGTTTCATCTCCAGGCAATTCAAAACCATTTGGGGAAGCGGGGGGACTGGGCAGGTCCGTGGTAGGGACCGTGGGGGGGTTTCAACAAAACAAAACTTGAAATTAAATTGAAACTAATCAAATCGGATCAAACAGTAAGCACCATGGTGAATGTATTCAAGTAACCTAAAATATTCAAACTCTTATTACAATTAATCGTTTTTGTATGAAACTCTACTTAATTCTGATCAGAGGAAATTCGACTAAACTCTGACGAGAGATGATTTCCTTCCAAATTCTGACAGATGAAGTTAAACACTGTAGAAGTCAACTGAATAAAAGTAAATAACGAGCTTCCATGTGAACAAGACAGAGGAAGATGATGAGTGACGGAAAGGTGATGAGCACAAGACAAGACAGATGACAAGCAGGCAGAAAACGGGAGAATGAAGAAGGAGGTGAATGAGAAGGAAGCACGCACACGTCCACAGCTGGAAAAGCAGGAAGGGAGAGTCATCCTGTGCTAATGACCGGCCTTCATTAAGCACGTTTCCCAGAAGGCTTTGTGTTTACACTTCCGGCGGCTGATTAAAGGGAATGGCTAACACCCACGGAAAAAAAAAAGGCCTTATATGGATAACATGTCTTAACTGGCCTAGGCTGAAGGATGAAAATCAAATTTCATATTTTTGACTTCATTTATTGTACAATACTTTTAGCCTATGTGTCCATATTAACATTTAAATACAGTATGGTGTCTTACAGTCTTTTGCCAATTTTTTTTTTTTTTTGGTACTAATCGCAAAAATAAGGGCTATGCTTTAATGTTCCTATCGTCAAACGAAATCGCTCTAAAGATGTTATTATGAATAATTTGATGTCCTTGGTCAGTGGACTACCTGCAGTGAAAGAAACCATTGTAATTTCAGGCACTTTGTTGAAAAAAAAAAAAAAGAAAGAAAGAAAAAAACGAGACCTTGAACGCAGCACCATGTTATTTTGCAGATAGTTGAAAAGTCCCATGAATAGAAGTCTGCGCCCTGCAGTAAATGAGAAGAATACATTTTGGAGGAAAACTATTGAGCTGTCTCCAATTTCACTCAGCAAATAATTTAAGAAAACCCACATCACATTTCCACTTTAATTAATTTAGCCGTGAAAGGATACAAAAGGCTGGCAGACAAAAAGGAGGACAAATGAAAAGTGGTGGTCGGCGTCTTTTTTTGAGCTGATTTACGGGCGAGGGGTCACGGCGGGTCTCCACAATATGAGATTAGACCATTAGAGGGAGGCAGCTCGGTAATCCCCGCATCCTAATCCCCGATTTCTCCCCGCATGCTGCTAATGGTTGACAGACAATAAGATGCCATAATCTATCCAGCGGCATGCACTGGGAATGGACGGAGACACGGACAACACTCAGATAGGTCGCTAATGTTTGGCACACAAAGGAGGAGACGGAGGTGGATAGAAGGGGTGCCATTTGGGGAGATGGTGTATTTTGACAGGGGACAGTGGGGAGACATCGGGGAGATGAGGGTGATGGAGGGGGAGACAGAGAGTAGGTGGAAGGGATAGAGGGGAACACAGTGTAGGGGTGACGGGTTACAGTTGTCCGGTTTCCATGGAGCCGGCGTAAAACGGAATGACCAAACCAATTTAAAATGCTCCATTTCAAACCCTCAATTGGAATTGGAACAGGAGAAGGGGTAGAAATTGTGGAGGAGATTGAGTGGGACAGAACGTGATACTAAGGGGGATTGATGGTCTACCTGAGACTTGATCCCGGGAGTCACCTTAAGGGGGAAAGTGGGAGTGACTAAGGGGAAGGGAGAGATTGAGGTGGAGTGCGGACAATAAGGACGATGCTTGAGGGGTGGAGTGTGGGGGGCACTGAGCATGAGACTGACAGAAATATTGATGGTGACAATGATGGGTAAGATGACAGTGGGGTGGTGGGGCGGAGATTGAGCTGTAACTCTCAGTGTCACCCTCGGGCAATCCATTAGTTTTACCCCAATCCTCACCTTACCCCCCCTCACCCTCAACCCCCTTGTCTTCTCCTGGGTTGTAACTCTGTACGCCCCCTCAACATCCCTCTGATTGTCACCTTCAGTGTACTGCCTCAAACTACCCCCTCGGGCATCTCATCAGTTTCTTGCCAATCTTCATCCCTACTCTTTCCCCCTCAAGTCTCCCCCCGGGGGAGGAGGGGTGAGCTAACTCTCAGTGTTACTCCAGGCAACCAATAAACCCCACTCAATCTCACCCCAAGTCTCTCCGACAACATGCAACCTTCTCCACACTCGTGTCTGGGAATACAATATACTCATTCGTCCAGATTTTATTTTCAGGGCATCGAATCCATCGCAACTGGACTGATCTGGTTGTCTTTGGAGACGTTTTACTTCTCATCCCAGCAGGCTTCATCAGTTCAAGCCAAAAGGCTTGCTTTGCGCTGCACCGGGGTGATCGCCCCGCTCCTTTGTCTTCATTTCTCCTCATGCAGTACATGCTCTGCTTTTAACTGCGTGCTGCATGGATTATCAGTTATGAGGGTGTTTTAGAATCAGGGCGTTCACATCATGAGGTCAGTCATCAGGAATGTTCACGTTTGTACTTTATCACCGAGGTTGCTACCAGCTGACGTCAACCCCGTTAAACTTTTCCCCGACATGGTGGACATGCTTCATCACGTCCCGTTAGCACTTCTTCCAGTTATCTTCCCAAGCGAGAACAAGAATCGTTGGAAAATGTCAAACCATCGCTTGCTAAGTGTCCGATAAAGACGACCGCGTTCTGAGTGCTCCGTTAAAAGTGGGTTGGCGTGTTTAATAAATCCCGCCGCGGCCTCCAGAGTGGAATGCTTTCAGCACCGGGGTCCTAAATGTTCCACCGAGTCCCATTTCTGAGGAGCTTTAAGAGTCCTGGTCTGCCACGATAGGCCATCCGGGACTCTCGGGTAGTGTGCGCACAGCTGATAAGTGGTTTTAATGTCACACTCTTCTTCTTCTTCCTCATCCTCACTTCTTCACCCACTCTGTACAGATCATGGCTTTGCTTCGGCTTTGGACCGCGGGGCTTATTCTGGCCATCGCGGCCTGGTCCGTCTCGCCTGGCGTTTCTGAGAACTTGGTGGTGGGATCGGAGAGGCGGCAAGGAGTTGCTGAAGAGATTGTGAGGAAAGAGAGCCATCCCATCCTATCTCGGAAGAAGCGGGAGTGGATCTGGAATTCGCTCTATGTGGAGGAGGAGAAACCAGCGCCCATTCCCTACAAGATCGGGCAGGTAAACGAGAAATGACCCGAATCACAAATATTGCGTGTTATGTTTGTGAGCAGCAACCCAGCCGCTGGGGGGCAGTGCCCTCCCCTGGGGGTGCACTGTTCCCCAGTGCCGGTCCCAAGCCCGGAGAAATGGGGAGGGTTGCGTCAGGAATGGCATCCGGCGTAAAACTTTTGCCAAGACGACCATGCGAGTTGGTAGGACGGTTTACAGGGGCGGATGGAAATTACTGACTCGCTGTGGCGACCCCTGAATAGGGATGTGCCGAAAGGAGAAGAAGAAGAAGATGTTTGTGAGCAGCATTCAACAACAAACATAAGGAGAAATCCAACCAGGAAGAATCCACAGGGAAAAAACTATTCAATTTTGGTTGTTGCAGGTGTTACAAATGAGCTAAATTGTGCTAAATTTGGTAAAGGGTTCCAATGGTTTTCATATGCTCAAAGGATCCATCCAAGAAATCTGTTATTGAATGGCTCAAAACGTAAAACAAATATATCATTGTTTCCCCCTATATTTGGTAGGTACCGGTCATCAATCTATTGTTTTTTGTTTCAATATCTTTTTCCAGCTCAAGTCCAGTCAGAGAGTGGAGGTGAAGCGGTTTAAAATCGAGGGCGAAGGCGCCAATGGCATTTTTAGCGTGGACCACAAGGGCGACCTGTTTGTCAGCAAATCTTTGGACCGCGAGGAGAAGAGCGCATACCACTTGACCGCCAGGATGTACGACGGCAACAACAAACTCATTGAGGACTCGGGAGACTTTGTGGTCCAGGTGACTGACATCAACGACAACAGCCCCATCTTCCCCAAAACTTACAACGGATCCATCGTGGAGAGGTCTACCATAGGTACTTATTATAATTATTGCGACAGTGCATTGGTTGAACTGACAGTGACACTTTCAGAAAGAAAAAATATAATAATAAAATAAAAAAGGTAAAAAAAATATGTTCAAATTATTTTAGTATTATAAAATGTATTTTACTACATTATAAAATACATTTAGCTTCCAACAATAACGGCAGTTTTCCAAGAAGAGGAAAAAAAGCTGCAGTATCACGAAAATTACATCACATTTTTTTTAATTTGTTGCATTTGGGAGAGATAAAGACAGTGCGGTATTAAGAAAATTATTTTTTTTTTAAACCTAAAATCTAGAATGATAAACTTTTTATGATTATTCTTATTATTATAATTATTATTTCGAACTCCCTTCTACCTCCACAGGAACCAAAGTGATCGAGGTTAGGGCAACGGACGCAGACGACCCAACCACCGCTAACGGCGAGCTGCGCTACTCTCTGACGCCCGATGGCGACCTGTCTGCCTTTGAAATCGACAGTATCACAGGTTTTTACTTTTCAGATTGCAACTTGATCACGTCCAAAATGATGAGTTTTTCACCATGATGGCAGAATGAGTGAACTAACAGGCTGAATAGCTTGAATGATGATTTTGAAATTCGTCAAAAATTGGCAGCATTGTAACATTGTGTTAACTAATTGCTGTGTGTGTCCAGGTATGATCAGCTGCAAGGTGAGCACTCTGGATCGCGAGACCAAGAGTCAGTACGTGGTGGTGGTCCGGGCTCAGGACATGAGAGGAATGGCGTCCGGCAGCACGGCCACAACCTCCGTCACCGTCAGTGTCACCGACACCAACGACAACATCGCCTCCTTCACCAGACGTGAGGACTGCACAGGGATAAGGGCGCATTTGTTTGCACGAAAAGTCGGAAAATTGCAAGATAATTTGACACAACAAACTGCTCTTCTGATGTTTTCCTTTCACACTTCTTGTGATTTTACAGCCTTTGTTGAAAAAAATTGCGCTATTCACTGTTTTCTTTTCAAGCTATTCTTTACAAGAACACAAAAAAAATTTCAATTTGTTGAAATATTACGAGGGTTTTTTCCTCAAAAGAAATAGGACCTTGATACACAATTTTGTTTTTTTATTTGAGAAAAAAAAAAGATTTGAATCAAGGAAAAAAAAACCCTATTGAAATCTTGTAAAATGTTTTCGGCACAAGCAAGGTTATTGTAGTTAAAGAAAACTATGGAAAGAACTAGAACGAAAAATGTAAAAAAAAAAAACCTTCATTAATAAAATTAAATAGAATGAAAACACCATAACTATAAAAAGTAATACAAACTGAAACTAAATTTTATGCTCAGACCACTATTATAAAAATGAAAATGTCCTTAATTTTTGATTTTTACATTGTCTGTAAAAGAAAAGTACTTCAAGTGAATATTTATTTTTTTCTCTAAAGAAATGTTCCTTTTATCTTATAGTATTGGGCTTCTTTGCTCAGAGAAATACAATTGAAATATTACCACTTTTTTAGATTAAAAAAAATACTATTCCTATGATACATCAACATTATTTATTGTTTAATTTTAAATGCCTCCTTTACCTTGGGGGAAAAAAAAAAACACCACTACGCTACTAGTTTTACCCTTGTGAGATTTCAACATTATTCTTGGTGTATCCTTTTTATTTTCTTTCCAGTTTGGCCTTAATCCATTTTCGTACTTTCTAAAGCAATGTGTTGCATATGGGAATAAAACAACAGCTAACGGGCCTTCTGGGAATGAAATAATTGTTGCATTTGTGTAAAGTTAACATGACAGTTTGGATTTTTAAGTACCCCAAAGATGCGTTGCTGTTTTTAACTAGAGTTGAATAATGACTAATAGTGTACTGTTTGTTCCATAGGGACGTACGAGTTGCGAGTTCCAGAGGACCACAAGTTGAACTCGAGGATTGGCACTTTAGAGCTGGAGGATCGAGATCAGATCCAAAACAAAGAGCCCATCTTCTCCCTGCCTATTGACAACAAAATGTTCTACATGGAGCTCGGCCCCAGCAAGGACGGCAACCTCATGCTCAGACAGGTGAAATGCGTCCTGCGAGAGCGGATTTGGAATTACAGAGAAATCTCTTAATTGAAATTTTTTCTTTTGTGCATAAAATTTGACCCACAACTCAACTTCAGACTCTGTGCCACTAGATGGCAGCAGTGAAATTCACAACATCCGGCCACTGTCAGTTCATGAAGATACGTCGCGGAGAACAATATTTTTTTGTTGGAGTTTCATGCTTGCGATTTTTCGAGCGAAATTTATTTTGTCCTAACCATGAATTCTAAAAAAATCTGTCACTGTTCTGGGTTATTCTAAACACTGTTACAAGGGAGAAGGCCTACCATATTTGTTTTTGGTCCCAAACCCCCTGCAAACAGTGAAGCTGATCTATGTTCCAGCAGCAGCGGTTTGTGGTTTGATGTGACATTTAAAGCGTCTCTTTATACTTAGCTGTCTGCAGGCATATAGAGTAAATAGAACGTGGCATCTGAGCATTACAAAATATCCACAAGCGCAAGAAAAAAAAAAAAGAACATAAGCATCTGAGGCAAAAGCCATACTTTTAAATGCCCTCGCACACATTTACGCAGGCGGTTTGATAAATAACAATGCGCGGCATGGCCCGTCTGCTGAGTGGAGATATTTCATGCTTGCGAGGTTTCAGATAAAGTATTTAAGAGACATCACAGAGCACAAAATGTATTCCAACGGTGCGGAAGGGAAGCCCAATCCTCTGGCTCTGCGGCCCGTCTAGTCGGCGATGGGCCGCACGCTCGTTAAAGGTGTTTACCAGCCGCCTTCGGAAGTCTTCGTTAGCGGGAATAATCCAGTTAGCGGCACACTCCCGTCTCCCCGTCCGCAGATAAAAAAAGAACGCAAAGTGAACGGTAAGCTGCCTCTAATACCACCACAAACTGGAACAGGAACGGGACAAGGGAGAATGTGGAGGATGTTTGTTTACATCAAAAGTGGAAATGGAATACGAGCAGGGATGGAATACATTTGAAAAAGTAAACTGCATGGGCAAAAGTTTTGCGACATGATCCACAGATTAAAAAAAAAAAAAAAACTAGTTTTTTTTATAAATAATATTTAAAAAAGCATTTTCCCATCTCTCAATTTAACACACACACACACACACACACACACACACACACACACACACACAATTTATTTTGTTTTAATTTACCTCTCTAATGTACATTTAACTGTCTGTTGGGTGATATTCAGGCTCTGGATTATGAGACAAGAAACAGCTACTCCTTCAGCATACAGGTGCGGGAAAACTTGCGAAACCTGCGCTTTCCCGCGGATAACGTGGCCACTGCCGTCACCACAGCACAGGTAAATTACAATGATAATGATAGCCAAATTAATAATTGCATGAACCCGCCTTGACAACAGCAACAATTTGCCTGTCCAATTTTAAATCACTGTCCAATATAAAATCCAAATTCGAAACTGTTGGCCCAAGTCAATGGGGGAGGGTCCAGGTGGGGGGGATATACAAGGGCCACTAGGACCCAACTCTATAACTTCTATTTTCTTTTCATTGAAACTGAATAAGTTCAGTGCCATCCAGGTTTTGATTTCCTCCAGACAGGACACAAGTGGCCTTGAGGAGAAACCATCCATTTTGCTTAGCAGGACATGGATCTGACTATTATCTGCATAGCAGTAAAAGGAAATACAGTACCATGCTTTCTTAAAATGTGAATCAGAGGCAGCAAATGCAAAATAAAGAGAAGGGGACCCAAAACTGAACCCTGCGGAACACCAGTGGGGCTTAGTGGGACTCAGAATGATCAAGACGAACAAAAAGTCCTGTCTGCCACTATCAAATTAAAGGCCCTGATGAGGGCATTGTAGATCAATAATTACCTTACCAACATATGCCGTCACTGAAAAAGTGGATGCTTGCGTCTACATGTGCAGGTGAACGTCAAGGTGTTGGATGTGGACGAGCCACCGGTATTTTCACAGCTAACGTACACCTTCAACGTGCCTGAGGAAAGACTGGTCAACAACGTTGGCACTATCAGTGCCAGAGATCCGGACAAAGCTGGCAAGAGTATCCGGTAACAATCTATTGTGACACAAATATCCAATATGCAATCGTGGTTTTATGACTCGATTGACGATAGAGAGAAAAATATGGTAATAGGGAAGAACGGATGCTATCAGGAAAATGAGTTGCTACTCTATGCCTGCCCTCAGGTACTCCATCTTGGACAAGGATTGTCCAATCGCTATCAATCCAATCACAGGGCAGATGTCCACCCTGAGGACTCTGGACCGTGAGCTGGAGGCCGCGCACATGTTCCAAGTTAAAGCCCAAGAGGAGCCAAGTGGTGCGTCACACACACACCACACACACACATGAACACACACTCTTTCACACACATACACTTTTATGTATTGAAAACAAAAGCCCCTCACAGGCAAATGGAAGCCATGTGTCGGATAACATGCACTCAGGGAGAGAGTTACAGAGGCCAAACTCACAGTTTCTCTCGCATGTGCTGGGAACGCAGCATGTAGTCAATCACCAAGGAAAAATACGCATCAGACGCCTTGCCAACACACCTGGCTGAGTCTCAGAGCGAGCAGAAAATCACATTATGGCGTCTCTTTGTTCGTCTGTAGCCTCCCAAAGCAAAGTCTGTATTTTTAGACGGGCAGCCAACAGCATCCAAAGATCTATTTTTGTCTTTTGTCATCATGTTTAGGGAGCACAATGGTCCCCCGAGCCCCGCTCGACAAGGTCTCCGATATAGTGAACCGCACACAGCAAAGCACTAAAGATAGTCGCTACATTAAATGTCAGACATTAGAAGAGGCAATGAGCAACGAGGCTGCTTTAATGTGACAAATAAACAGCTTGCAAAGAGAAAGTCTTTTGTCCATTGGCCTGACTCATCTCAGCCAATGACAACAACATTTGCAGAGAGCTTTGGTAGGAATAAAAGTGACATTAAAGCAGCAAGCAGTAATGACCGGGGCCTTGCAGCCCCACAAAAGTTGGGAGGGGCGCCAGATGGAGGATTCAAAGTGTTTGCTATTCGACAGAATCTCTGCCGTTAAAATTTGGTAGCGATTGGAAGGACCAAATACTCTTTGAAGGACCCCCAGAAGGGCCCAAACAACCCCAGAATGGCAACTTCAAACCGAAATGGCAAACTTGCTGTTTGTTTGACGGCATGGCTTAATGAGACATTTTGGTGGGTGAACTCACAATGGACATGCCGACTAAATATCATGTTCAGAAAAAAAATCGCTTCAGGACTTATTACCATGATTTGGGGTTTTATAACTAGTCATCAAATTTCACTGATGCTACACCCACACTAATTGAATAAATAAATTCTTAATTTCAAACGTGTGAGAATGACATTCAACTAAAGCGACAAAATTAAACGACCGTAAAATAAAATAAAAATAAAGTATATTTAAAAAGCAGGAGGAAGAAGTAAAACTTATTTTCTCGTATCCCTTTCTTAAGGCCTCTCTAATTTTGACTTTAAATATGGACATCAAGCACTTGTAGTAAGAAATTGATATCCACACATCCATCTTGATTTTCCTGTAATACTATTGACATGCCGACTAAGCTTCCTATTGCTAAGTAAATGAAATGAATGAATGAATGACATGAAATGAAATGTAACCGGCGCCAAGGTCTGAATGTTGAAAACCCCTAAAAAGTGTGATTTATTTTCAAGTCAATGCAAAGAGACATCTTGAAAACCAGTCAAGAAAAATCGATCTGAAGGCCGTGTGACACATCGTGATGCCTTTGTGCGATCGTCACGGGATTACTTTACACAGACCGCAGTTGATTTCTTTTCAGCCAGCAGCGCAGTCAAAAGCAACGCCTGCAGGCAGCTCAATGTGGTGCTCAGTGATTGTTTGATGGTTGATTGCAGGTTTGGAGTCGTTTGTCAAAGTCAACATCGTCGTGGAGGACGTCAATGACAACAAGCCCGAACTGGATGTGGACGACATCTTTGTGTGCGAGAACGACGCCGTGAACACAGTAAGTTGTGTTTCTGCTCAATTTGAATAACTTCAAAACGTTGACCACCTGTAATTCCACTTGAACAGCTGAACTTTATTTGCGGTTAAGGGGCACTTTAGATATTGTTTTTTTTTTAATTGAGTTGTACAGATCATATGACATTGCTATGACGTTTTGGAAGCAAAGGGGTGAGCTAGCTGGTTTCGTTTTGCGTCATTTGATGCAATTGGGAAGACTTTTCACATGTTTTTATTTCTGCTTTACACTTTATACTATAATTTCCTAATACCTTTGGCTTCATGTTTGTATTTTTCCATTGTGTATTTTTACCTAATATTTGTATATTTAATGTTTTTTTGTGTAATATTTACTCTTATTCTAAAATGTGCATGTTTTCAATGTAATGACTATTTTTATAAACAAACGTTTTGATATTTGTTTATTTTATATCTATATTTTTTTTATCTAACAGTTTGTATTATTTTCCCCAGGTATTTTTATTTAATATTCTTGTTATGTTTGTCGCTTTTTCATTAGATATTTATTTTTCTAGTTGTGTTTATATTTTTGCTGCAAAAATTGTTTTGAATTTTTGATATAGATCTTGTCTTAGCTGTCTGTGCAAGTTGCCACGGGTACTATGTAACGTAGTAGCCAGTGGTCATACACACAAGTTTCTTGTTTTGACAAATTGCACGGTTTTGTTCCCCCAGGTCATCGGGACGCTGAGGGCTACCGATAAGGACGACCAGCCAGCCTCATTCACCTTTATTCTGGCTTCTCCCAGCTCTAATTTCTCCATCAGAGATTTTGGCAGTAAGTTGTCATTGGTCTTCTATGTTTCTCGTGCCCACTTGAGGGCTTTGAAGCCTCTCTGTGGAACTCAATAATGTCTGGAGCTAAAGGCAGCAAATAAGTGTACAGATTGGAAACACAGTCAGTAAACATACTGCATTAGGGTTAGTAACAATCCAAATTTAGGGGGATGTTTTACTTGTCCGATTCACACAAAATCAGGATTGCATTTTCATCATGGCAGCACCCACGAAGATCCAAATCGAACCTCTGTTGTTGAACGGACAGGTAGTCAGCCATTTTGATTTTTCAAAGGTGCCATTTCGGGGGTGGATTTGGCCCATTTCTGGGAATTGTACAAGAACAAATTCTTCCCAGGGAATTTTGCACAGCAGCCACCAAATTCCAACCGTATATAGCAGAAAGATGAGTGACATTACATCACAGTTGTGACTCATCATCAGGTGGAAAAATTGGATATGCGCAGTGAAACATCAGATTCTCACTGCAATGGGAAATGTCGGTCCAAAAATGGCAGTTGTTATGTGGTAACCTCCTCGTGGGGGAACTGTTGAATCTCTTTCAAATTCCATACTTTACAGACAGACTGGTGATGTTAAATTGGGAAGCATGCTTCCATCACAAGTGGTGAGTGTTGTGAAGATCAGGCTTTGCTGTTGAACATCAAATTTTAACTAGAGAATGTCATTTGTGCAGAACTTGCACAAGAATGCTAAAGAGCTGATGCTGAACTGAAATGCTGTGGAATCAATTTGTGTAATGTGAGACGTGATGTTGGGATGATTTGAATCGGTAAAGAAATACGTGATTTTTATTGAGAGACTTTGGGAATTATTTTCTTTTGTGAAAAGTGTGGAATCTGGGGAGTGAGAGAATTACTGAAAAGCAGAAAATAGTCCCCAAGATGATATTTTGAAGTATGAATAGGTTGAATTGGCCAAGGAATGTGGAAGAAGGAGGCAAATGTGTACACACCTTTTAGTTTGTTAAATGTGAGAATCTAGGAATCTCGATGTGAAACGTGTGGAATGATGGGGATTGTGGGAATAGCCTGAACGTTGAAAATATTTCCCAGTAGTGCTGTAAATTAGCTGAATGGTTTGAATTTGGAATGGAAAAGACTTCCACTTCAGCATTCACACAGTAATTTCAGAACAGATGATGTCATCCATTTTCTAAACCACTATGAAACATAAAATCTCCAAGCCCGAACATGAATGCTGATCCTCCCACCATTTGGTTCAGAAATGGGTGTCCTGCTAAGCTAATTGCAACACTTGATTCCTAGTTGCATCAGATCTCTCTCTATCTTTGGACACGAAAGGTCAACTATTAAAAGGTGCGCAGAGATGAAAGCTGCTGGTCTCAGGTGAAGCGCTGCCGTTGAATCCGCGTCTAACCTGAAATAACACGCCGCACGGCAGAAAGATAAACAGGAAGGGGGGGAGTGGCCTCATCTATTTCCTATGCGCTGGTGCCCGAGGTGGGGGGCCCACATGCTGTAGCGATGATGGAGGGTTGACAGATGAAGATGATTTGGAGGAAAAAGATGAAAGGATGCCAGGGCGGAAGAAGATGAGAATTAGGAGAGATGGGTGGATCGCTGGATCGAGGATGACGAATAATCACGACAATGGCACTCAGCAGACCTCCACCAAGGCTTAACACCCCAAAAAATGTTCATCTTGAAAAATATAATTCAATAATTTACAAACGCCCACACAAGGAGGTGAACTCCAACATTTGCTCATTTTAAGATGCATTATGGTACATGATGGCATTAAGCTAGCAGACTTTCAATAGAGTTAGAATGTTTCACTCATTTGGCTCAATAAAGGTTGAGCAAACAGCCGTAGAAGGAGAAGACCATAAAATCGAAGGAGAAGGAATTAGCAAAGATCAGACAAAAGGCAAAGTTCCTCTCAGATATTTGAAATGAATAGAATTTTTTTAATTGATGAATTTGAGACTTGAATTTGGAATGGTTTGGTCAAGAAATGTGTAAGGAACTGGTACACATGCAAAATATCTCCCAATTAAGAACTTTTGTGAAAATGTGCTCATTTGGGGAATGGAAATGATTGTTCATGACCGGAAGAGTTTTAATAATAAATGATTCGAAAAACGTGGGAATTATTTCGTGAGAAGTGTGGATTTTTTTTTTTTGTTGCTTTGTTCTGAATGTCATTTATTGTCGTGTTTGTAAATGGTTGCAGGGGCTTGTGAAAAACAAATTGAGTTGCCTTGTGTATGAAATGTGCTATTTAAATCAAGCCGCCTGACCTTCTCTTATTGGATTGTTGTAAATAGTTCTGAATGAGGCAAATATTTCAAAGTTGGAATGATTTGAATCAGAGAAGAAATGTGGAGGAAGGTAAACATATAAAAGATTTCTTAATTGGGGGCAATTTTATCATGAAATTATGGTCGTCTGAAGAATAGAAATAGCTTGAGAATTATTGTAATATGGAAAATAGCCCCCCACAATGAAATGAATATGCTTGAATGGTTTGAATTGGTCAGGAAATGTAAAAGGAGGAGGAAATTAAAATCTCTTCATTGAAACTGTAGAGGTGCATATAAAATGAGTGAGAAGGACACAGACAATGTCAGGCAAAAAATAAAGTCCCTTACAGACATTTTTAAAAGATGTTTCAGAGGATGGTTGGATTTATAGACACGGAGGAAGCAGCAACATGAGCGATGAGTGCATTTCACATGTCATGCGTCGTCTCCTCGCACCACTTAACACTCGCTTTACACACACAAGAGCTGCGAAGTGTCGGTGCTGTCAAATATTCATGCAGTACAAGGCGGCTTTCACCACCTCGCCCCGGTCTGAGTTGCCACCTAACCTCCCAATAGCAACACCACTCCCCTCCCTCTCATGTCACTTTCTCTGATGGCGAGAGAAGTGACAACCAATGGTGCCGACATGGATTTCTCTGCATTAGACGGCCAAGCAAACACATAAGTGCGACGAGTCGGGATAATGAGATTCAACAAAGAGAGTGAAGAAAAGACTGCCAGAGCATGCGGCACCATCCAGGGAGACCGCGGAGACTTTCCAGTCAAACAAAGACGAGCGAGAGGGGACGGTGCAGGACAGAAGATGTTTAGATCTTTTATTGACACACCCTTCGAGACTCTACATGTTTTTTCATTGGACATTACCAACATAAAATGGAGGCCGTCTAGTGGGATGGATTGTGTTGTGTTCGGAAGTGTGTTGTGAGTGGCGAGGGACAGCTAGTTTGAGATGCACAACACTGCATTATTGCAACTTTCATGACTTGGTGGATTGCTCGGAGTCAGAGTGCTCACACTAGTCACAGGAATCAGACCGTGCTAAAGCATGGGACGACTTCTCCTAACCTTTACCGACTGCTCCTTTTCCATGCACTCGCCGTATGTTCTAGGGCAGGGGTCGGCAACCCAAAATGTTGAAAGAGCCATATTGGACCAAAAAAAAAACAAAAAACAAATATGCCTGGATCCGCAAAAAATGAAAAGCCTTACATAAGCCTTATAATGAAGGCAACACATGATGTATGTATCTATACTAGCCTACTATCAAAATGACTAAGTTGGCGCAAATACACAATGAGGTTTTTTTTTCCCCTGCAGTGCATCCTCTAGAGCAGGGGTGCCCAACCTTTTTTGACGGAAGATCTACTTTTCGATCACCCAACCTCTAGCGATCGACCAGTTACCGCAAACGAGCATTTACTCCGGAGCAAATTTTTAAACCACCTCCTTGAGCAGGGTTAAATTTGCTCCGGTTTGAGCTGTTTTCAGGGGTTACACCGGTGTAACTTTGTACGTGTGAACGCTCTACTGGGGCAGCGCCGGCACTGCACCGGAGCAAAAGTTGCCGTGTAAACACCCCTTTGGAGACGGCGAGGCTCCTGTTTTCCTGTCATTGTCAGCAATGGAATTCCTCAATGGAATGGAAAAACGGGCTGCTGAGCAGGAAGCTTTGACTACTTGACGAATGGCTTCATTGTTGGACAAAAGTTTTACGTTGGATGCTTGGCTTGGTTGTTTTTGCTTTTTTTATTCTAAAAGGTTGCCGGTTGACCGTGGCGGGAAGTAACAAATTCTTGTCGTCTGCTTGTGTTCAGACAACACCGCATACGTCCTGGTGAAACAGGGACCGTTCAACCTGGACGATCCCACAGATTACAGCGTGGATGTGAGCATCAGCGATGGAGGACGACCCATCCAGACCAGCATCACCAAACTGGCCATCAAGGTCTGTATTTGTGTGTCTGTGAATCACAAAAAAAATCGAACACGGCGATTCCCTAAGTTTACATTATGCCGCCTTTTGTAGGCGTGCCGCTGCGACGCCAGACGCATCCCGACGCAGTGCAAGGCCGTGGCTCAGAAGATGGGAGTGAGCGTCCACGTTCTCATCGCTATTTTGCTTTGCATACTCACCATACTGGGTCAGTTCTAAAAACTGGAGAAAAAAAATTACAAACAAATAACAAAAAAAAAACCAACATAATTTACTTGGGCAGGGATTCTTTTGTGAACAATGACTAGAGGGAGCTCCTACCTCTAGAGGGAGCTAGCATACCACTAGTAGCTCCGACAGAGCAGCGACGCGGGAAAAAGACATAAAATAATAAGAAGAAAATTGCTTTGCAACACGAGTGAATCTCAGGTGTTTACCTTCATACCCCAGTCCCGGCTTTACACTCTGTTTTCGTGCACCCAGCCGCCAAGCCCCTTGGATATTATCCAAGAAGTTGGAAAATTTGCTGCTTGACTTTGATCCACCATTTTAGTTCAATGCCTTTCACACAAAACTTAGACAAGGAAGGTAGCCCCTTTCCTGCAGCTTGTCAGACAACGACAGTTTTCAACATGACGAGCCAGAAGTAAGTGTTAAATATCACATGCTGGTTGGTGCCCGCTTTCATCTCTTTCCCGTCTCATTTAAAAACAATGAAGGAAAACACACAAAATAGGCGTGCCAAAGGGGCTAGAAGGGGAAACAAGTTAACTCAAGAATTTCCCAACTTCTGAGGTGCTTCCAACCCAGCAAGGTGGGAGAAGTCATTGTTGGGTGTTCCACTTGCCTTTTTCACACAGACCCTGGATAGGGTCAGAAAATAGGCAGTGCATTTCACACCAAGTTTCCATTAAATTGGCCCAAAAAATACAGTGAGAGTTGCTTTTAACACAACGGGAGCGGAAGAAAAGTAGATTGATTGTCCCAGCTTTCTGAGATCGCCTTTCACACAGTCACCATCAAGTCTCTGTTACACCCCTCATACCGATACTGTAGCTATACTTACAAAGGCAGAAAATTTGTTAGACTTTCACTCTTCTAGGACTTTCACACAGAACAGCGACTGGTTGAATGTTGCTGCTTCTGAAATATATCAGAAGCCCCTTTTACACAAAGGTTCTCTAAAATTGCCAGATCAAGACTAGTCCTGCCGCTGGTAGTATCTTCAAAGCCAGATATAGAGAAAAAGATGGAAAATGGTCTGTGTGAAAGAATCTAGAAGGGTGATGTGAGAATATCAATATATGGTATTTCACCGTGGCTTTCCCACTGTCCCCCTTTCACACAGCTGCTGTCAAACCTAACAATCCTTAAATTAGCGTTGACTTCAACCCCATGTCATGTTCTCGCCCCTTTCTTTGCCGTCGACAACATTTCACGCGGTAAAACTTACCCGCCTCCCGGTGTTGTTGGTTTAATGAATAATGCAGGGACAGACGCGGAAAACAACGCCCGCGGTTTCCAACGCGCTGCTATTCTCTTTGATACCTTCGCCCCCCTCCTTGCCATTCCGCCTTGTACTTTTTGACTCAATCAACACACTAGTCACGGCGCGGGCTGTTGGTCGGGGAGTACAAATACTTTGTTGCTGTACTTGAGTTTATTTCGTCAGGGATCAAACCGAGTATTTATTTTTCCTGAAGATTGACCTGAATACATATCTGCACTGTCTGCTCCTTACTTTGTCAAAATATGATTGTTACGAATGATGACACACACTAAAAAAAGAAAAAAAAGATAGGCAAACGTGGCTGAGATTTTGTTGGCTTATGATCTTGCGGCTAAGGAAGAGATGCGGTGGAATGAAAGAGAAAATTGTGGGAAAATTGTACGAAGAATAGCAGCGTTAATGAAGAGTTTATCAGCACTTTAGGTGCCGTCTGCTTATCAAACAGCGGCAAACATTAAGTGGATGAACTATTAATATGCTCCACTTCTTCTTTTTCTTCTCGAGTCCCACTGGGTCTCCTTCTCTTTATCAAACTCTCTCACCACAGGCCAGATTAACTATTTAACGCTCTTGTCATTATCTGCCGCGCCCTGAAGCAATTTAGCGACGTAGCATTAGCTCTCCACTCGCCACAAGTCGCATTTGACCCCCTGAGAAGAGAGAGAGGGAAAAAAAAAGAACATTTTCTCACTGGTTTGTTCGTCTTTCTTCCCCTTTTTCTTCTTCTGAGTCGGCTATCTGTCAGGCTTAATAAAGTGCGGAGCATGTGTTGTAAAAGATTAATCTGTTGCTTTCCCAAGCATACTGGAATGAGGCGCGCTCGCCCGGCGCTAAAAGGCAAGGCTAACGTCGAACGTCCAAAGAGAGAGCGAGACAGAGGAGTTCAAATCAGGACCCCAGAGCGCGTGGCCGTAATCTAATGTCAGGCGCGTCCTTCACTCCCCCCTCCTTTCTCCCATTTGTGTCCTTCACTGCCTGTTCCTCCCTTTCTTGCTTTGCCCTTTACATCCATCCATCCTTCCTTTATGAAGTCAAATTTTTGCCGCAACAAAAAGAAGAAACTATTTGTATTGTTTTGCTCTCCATTTTCCCCAGATTTTTTTTCTTGCAATACTGTGTCTAGAATTTCCTTCATCTGTACTCTGCTTTTCCTCCTCTGCCGTTGTGTGGTTCTTTCCTTCGCTTCCCCCTTGTCTTTTTCTCTTACTGTTTCCCCTTCACTTACTGCCCTTCTCCTTCTGTGCCTTCTTGCACTTTGTTTTCACCACTTCACCTTCGTCTTTCTTCTCTTGGTTTTACACCCTGCCTCCTGACACATCACCTTCTCTTTTCCCCACCATTTTGCTTTTTCGCATTATGTCCTGCACTACTTGTACCTTCCTTTTCTCTTCCCTCTTCATTCCTTCCATCCTCTTTTTAATTGGTATTCGGTTACTCCTGTTTTCCTTTTCTTCATTTCCCTTTCCGCCTCACCAACCTTCCCTTCTGGCCTTCATTGCTCTTTGTCCTTCACTTCCTTCCTTCTTCTGTGCCTTCTCTTGCTTTTTTTCCTTCACTTACTGCCTTCATTTTGCTTTTCGTCCTTCACCTCCTCCCGCCTTCTCACGTCATTTGCTCTTCACTTCATGCCGACTTCACGTTTGTCCTTTGCTTCCTCCCTCCTCTTGCTTTTTATTCATTTCTTCCCACCGTTGCTCTTTTGTTTTCTTGTATCCTTCACTCCCTTCCTCCTCTTCCTCTGCTTTCTTCCTTCATATTCACCTCTTGTGTTTCTTTTCTTGATTTCTGTCCTAAACACTGCGCCTGCTTCTATAACTTCACTTACTTTCTCTTCCATTCCCTCTTCCTTCCCACCTCTTCCTCATTGATATTCCCTCCATCCGTCTTCCCGTCCTTGCCGAGTCGTCGCTGTGCGTTTTTAGAGCTTCTCGTGCTGGAGGCAAACTTTGCAGACACCTAAAACCATTCGGCTGCTCATTTTCCCGTCTGTTTTCCAGGCTCACTCCCTCGTTAACGCACCGCCCTTTTTTCCTCTTCCTTCTTGCTCGCTTCCTTCATGGCCCCATTCTCATTCCTGCCCTAATTTCCCCACATCTTCACAGAAAAGGCTTGGCTGACCGCTTTAATCTTGCCAGCCCGAGTTTTCACGCACTCGCTAATCGCGCCTGTCTGTCAAACATCTAAAAATTGCGGGGACAACTTTTCCTCGGGTTCCAAGAATGAAGCGGTTGGTTTCTTCTCCCAGAAACTGAAAAAGTGTGTCGTGTGTCTTGCAGTGATCGTTATCCTATTCGTGATGAAGAAACGCTACCATAAAGATTCGCTGGCCGGCATGAAGAATAGTGGCGAGATTCACGAGCAACTTGTCACCTATGACGAGGAGGGCGGTGGCGAAATGGACACCAACGGGTATGTGGACACAAAAATGTACTTCTCACAAAATAGAATTCATAATAGCAAATTTTGACTAAAAGGTAACCCAGGTATAAGAATCAGTGCATTTCTTGAGATCAGAAGATATGGAAGATACCGAAGCCGAGCAAAAGTGGGAAAATGATAGTGTTTGTGTGCGTATTTGCTTTGTTAGCATTCTACTTCCTGGTTCCTGAAGGATGATGTCAGCACTACGACCTATTTGATTTCGGATCGTTCCATTCTCGTGATATTTACTAATACAGTGAATCCCAGCATACTCGTGGATCGGCATTCACAAATTTACCCATTGACAGATTTTTTTTTTTTTTGGAACCAATCCTTTATTATTCTCTGAAAAACTCACTATTTACTCTTTTTGTGCTTGAGAAAAACAATTAGCACTACTGCTTTGGTGTCAACTGATCTTGGTGCCAAAGATGATCTGAAGTGAGTTGAGGAGATTCATTTAGACAAACGTAATCCCTTGCCACTATCTGGTGGCATCTACGATTACAAACTCTTTGAGGAGGGGGGTTGAATTGGTACCACAAAACATAATCTGTGCAAAATAAATGAATAAAAGATTATTTCAGTGTGTTTGTACATGCGTTGCACATCAACACTGAACAGCACCGTTAGCACCAATGCCAGCGCTAATGCAACCTGGTGTCCTGGGAACAATGACTTTTCCGATACATGCATTTGTCTGAAAACGGTCCCGATAAACCTGAGTAATAATGTGTGTTTTATATTTTACATAATAAACAGACTGTTCTGGGGACTTAGTACCAGTACATGCAAGACATTTCAGAAGTATTTGTCATTTTGATAAACTTTAGGAGAATATATCAAATTTCAGGGTAAAAGAGTCTTATATAAGATGTTTTTATTGCCATCAAATATCAAAACAGAGTAAATTTGACCCAAACGGTATGTAAGGGTTAAAAGCGTATTGCCATTTTTTGCGATCTTTGACGGGACTTTTTTTCGTGTATCAATATTTATTTGCTGACTTAGTCACGCGAGACACAGTGTACTTGAAGAAAAGCCACATGGCGTATTAATCCTCCTCCGTTTGCAATATTTATCCCCTCTGCCGCGTCCTATCATTTAGTGACCCAGTTTAGCTGAAAGGAATCATTAAAGTTTTATGTAATCTGAATCCAATCTAATGTGAAGCCTATTAAAAGGCGCCTGCTTAATGCATCGCTCATGTTTAATGTTCAAATAGCATCACCGTCACGATCCTTACTGGCCAATTATGTTCAATTTGTTTCCAAGGCTGTCATTGGGTGGCCTTTCAGTCACTGTGCAGCATTTTGATTGTTTTTACCTGTGTGGCTGTTTAATAACCCGTGTGACCAGATGAACCCTTTTACCGTTACATTGTTTTTGGTACCAACAAAGAGACATTAATGACCATATTTGTAAATTTTAGCGGGGAACTGTTGATTGCTTTTAAGTAAGTGACCAGAGTCTTGTTTTCCCTGGACATTACGACATTTTGGACTGTCAAAATGTCGTCCTATCTCTCATTAAGCTTTGATTGTTTTACCGAAATGACCAGAAGTCCACATTTCCCAGAGTCTGTCCATTTTTTTAAAAAGTACTTCACTTAACATGGCTACCCTTTTTTTTCCACGTGTGACCAGATGAAAAAAAATATTTGAAACTGTATTTTCCAATTTTAACTAATATGTTGGTTGTTTTATCTGGGTGACAAGACGGTTCCTGGATTTCCACTTTTCAGGCCAGTCAAAAGTCAATTCATAATGTTGGCAAGCAGACAGTATTTTTTTATCTTAACTATTGTGTGGTGTTAATTCATTGACCGAATCTCCACTTTTCACAGGACATTTCCTCTTTTAGGCTTTTACTCACTATTAGTTTTACAGTAACTAAGAACTGCAATATGCCCAATTCAAACCTTGTTAGGTTTTGATTTACCGGTAGTTGTTTCCCGCTAGATTCCTAGAATACCAACATGCATTCTTCCTCCCTCCTCCAGCTATGACGTCTCCATCCTGACATCAGCATTCCACGATGGCTCCCTCCTTCGCCACCCGGATTGCCTCCCCCACCCGTCTCTCTACGCCATGGTCCAGAAGTCCCAGCCACACCAGCATCAAGTGCAGCCCGCCTCCGCCGGCAAGGGCGACATGGCGGCCATGATTGAGATGAAGAAACACGATGCGGACCACGACCGTGAAGGTTTCCCGTACGACACGCTGCACATCTATGGCTATGAGGGGCCTGAGTCCATAGCGGGGAGCCTCAGCTCCCTGGGAAGTTCTTCCAGTGGCGGCTCAGACTCTGACTACGACTTCCTGAGCGACTGGGGCCCCAGGTTCAGGACCCTGGCTGAGCTGTACGGTGTAGACGATTTGGACTACTACCACTAGTTGACCTTTTCACCATGACGCCCTACGTACTTCCGGGTGGCAAAATCTCAGATGGCACCACAAGTAAACCAACGTGATATCTCACCACCAAGGAAATGTAGGCATCATGAACATGATCCTAAAGAAATTGGCAAATGAATTGACTTTTCTGTGGCTCTGTCTAATGAGACAGACTTTTTGCGTGATGGTATAATAGAGAGTGCGCCGTAGAGCTACCGTTAGCTGGCACGCTAGCCATGTTCCTAAATTAGTCAAAAACAACCCAATCCAACATTTTACAAAACACTGTGAGAAAATGCCTTCCAAAAACCCCAACCACTGGTCCTACTGGAATAATCTGATGGCACAAATCCCGCAAAGTTTTTGTCAAAGTTTCAGTTCACATCAAAGGTAATCAATCGCTTTTCTGCCACCCGGAAGTACCCTGGCGCCTACTGTTTATTTTCAACAACAACAGCCATAAAAACACCAACAAAACAACACACTTCAGCAGGAATGGGAACAACAGCTGACTTTTTGTTTCTGGACACAGAACTTGGCGAGTCACATTTTCATCCTTCTCATCCAATCGAATTGAAGGATGTCCCATGAGGGGGAGTGGCCGCATGAGCACAAAATTGCGATTTAAGGACGCAATTAGAGCCAATTAGATTTGACATCTGAGCGTGTTTATTCGGTGCGCTTTCTTTTTTTTTTTTATGTTGTACTTTTTGTCTTTTCGTACACGTGCACTCATGCACATCCATACAGTACACGCACACACAAAATGTCTACTAGGGATGCCAGCGTAATCTACTGGAACCCAATGTGAAGACAATCATGCGCAGTTTTGATCGAAGCTATCAGAGGTAGCTTTTGTACGGGATCATGCAGGTGTGCCTAATAAAAGTTGCACCAGCTCTTTAGTGTAATTTATGTGACCAGAACAGTGTTAAATCCTGGTGACAAAAAAGAAAGACAAGTAACGAATACTGGAATTTTCTCTGCATCTTTTTATTGCTTCCATGGGTTGTTTGAAATTATGGATTTTCCGGACTTTATATATTTCACAAAAGCAAACTAAAAAGAGAAGAATTTTGACATTAAAAAAAAAACGTCCACTTTATATGGGATACCAGCACTATTTAAAGGCATCCAACACAAAAGCTTCACATCATGATAATCACGCCTAGTTTTGATTGACGCTATCGAAGGTAGCTTTCATACTGGATCACAGTGAATTGTGGAGAAGTCTTGATATGTAATCCATACACAGAGAAATATAGTAAGGGTTTGCTGTGGTCTATAAATGCCACAAGGCAGTCACAAAGCACTACTTTTGTCTAAACGAAGAATTTCACTCACTTCAACATAGTTCAGTGGCACCAAGATGCCTTCAGATTGCGCTTAAGTAAAACTGTTATTGCATACAATGAAGATGAGGTCCCCCCCCACCTCCCCAAAAAAACATTCTGAGGATAGGCGAATTTGTGAATGCAAATGTGGAGCAGGTAACTAAATACAAGTTTAAGAGTTTGGCCTGGTGTTGTTATACTAATTTGGCCAATGTATTTCACTTTTGGAGTTTGTAGTTTAAAAACACACTAGAAAAGAATATTTTAGCTCAAATAAAAGTTAAACCTAGGTACATTTTTGATGTCAGTAAAACGTGGCTTGTTTTTCCTCAGTTGGTCCATTTTGCTAGTTTGTCACTGCAAGAAGAGTGAAAAAAAATGGTTGAAATCGAGTGACAGCAAATAGTCCAGCACGTCTTTCCCGTGCTTTTTTTTTTTTTTTTTTTTTACACCAGCCGTCATCACGCTCATTGTTTGGCGAGGAAAGCGCAACTCTCAGAGGCCTCCTCGCCACACACAACTCAGGAAGCACACAGCAGCTCCGAGGTGCTTCAACTACTTTAACCTCTCATCCCTCTGGCTACTGGCAGCTGGTGGAAGCACATCCATTAAAAAAAAAAAAAAAAAAAAAAAGACAACATCTGAATGGCGTGGGAACAAAAGGCCAGTGGACTGATCGCAAAAACTTTGAATTGGGAAGGTTTGACGTTATATATTCAGATTTAGGCACCCATGGAGTGAGTAAATCCAAATAGCAAAAGCTTAACTGAAGTAAAATGAAACAAGGCCAAACTTTTCACCCAAGTAATTTCTGGAAAAGGCACTCACAGACCAGTGCAACTTATATATGTTATAGAGTTAGAAAATACGGTATGTCGAAGGAGGTTGTCTTTAGGTCATGGTGGAGGTCTATGCTCAAATGTGAATAATGTATTTTTGTTTACTGCTGTTCTTGCTTGGAAGGCCGCTATCACAATACCCGGAAGTCACTTTTGCGTTTTCCCGTCGGCATTCACGTGTGAACTTGGTCTTCCTTCCAACCTCCCTCTAACCAGTGCTGCGCTAAACAGAACTAAAATCAACTTCCTGTCCATCTGGGGGAGGGTTTGAGGTAGGGCGGGGAGGGTTATCTCCCCCGTCGGTCCCACACATTGTCACATTGTTCAGTGGGCTTGATAAACAGTCTTGGAGAGGAAGAGGTTGAAGGTTAAGAAAGAACAAGACGAGAACAATGAGACCATTTCAAAATTTTGCAATCATGACCGCAGTTTGAAACCTTCAGAATCACAATTTTTCTCATTTATAGTTATACTTATGCTAACAATGTTGCAGAATTTCACAGTTCTCTATAATCCCTCACAATGAAACTGAACTGACAAAGACAAAAAATGCATACCCTAGTTCCTCACATTATGACGATCCCTCTATTAAAACTTTGATTTTGGCGCCATGTTGTGGCCTCTTGGTGCCAAGAACCATGTTGAAGTCAATTGAGGAGCTTTATGTAGTGCTTTGCTGCAATAATGTGGCATCTCTTGGCAGTTACAAACATTTAAAGAAGGTGATGTCGATTACTCATGAATTTATCCTAATTCTCAAAGGATTCACTGGAAACGTTATCCATGTAAATAAACGCCTCGCTCGAGTAAATGCCTTTCATAGTTTGTTCACGAAAGCAAGGCAAGTAAAGGCAGCTTTATTTGAATATCCATAGAGAGAGAGATTGTGGAAAACATGATTTTTAAAATACATTGAAAGATAAAGACAAAAACCCAATATCGCTGCTTTTCCAGCTGATTTAACCTCTGGGCATGTTTGAAATCTGTTGCTCAACAAAACAGCGGCATCTCGTGAGGCTTATCAAAGATGATCATACATGGACAGCTGCAACTAGAGAGATACAAAACAGTCGCTAAGATGAAATAAAAAACAAAAGCTGAGAAATGGTTCACTATTGCGTATCAAAGAAGATATCATCAAATGGAGTCCGCTAGCTTGTTGCTAAAATATAATGCGAAACGGCGTATAACGGAAACTTAGCATCGATGTCATGACAATTTGAAACCTTCAAAAACAAAAACTGAGAAATTGTTCACTATTGGGTATCAAAGAAGACATCATCAAATGGATTCTGCTAGCTTGTTGCTAAAATATAATGCGAAACGGCGTATAACGGAAACTTAGCATAGATGTCATGACAATTTGAAACCTTCAAACAACTCCTACTTTGCACACACAGAGCAGCAACACATACAACAAGAGAATGAAACATTGTCCATTTCAACACCAAAATGTTCAACCAAACCATAATTTCAACGAACCAATGTCTGCTAGCCTAATGCTAACAAATGCCAAATTCCATAGACGGGAAACGGAAATTAACGTTGATGTTATGGTAATTATAAAACTTTAAACAACTGCTACTTTACACACAGAACAGCAATAAATACAAAAAAGAGAATTAACGATTGTAGAGGATAATCGTGCTAAGACTTCAAAGAGAATTTAAAAGTTCGTCATTTGATTGCGAACAAAATGTGGCCACTGACAACCGAGTAAGGCATTCATTTTGCCTGTTGTGCACATCTCCCATTAGGGTATTCATTTTTGGAAGAAATTGGCCAAATGTTGAGTTTTCTGGAAAATGTACCGCATGGAACTTTGTGTGCTTTCACCTGGGGTGATAAAACGATTTGTTTTTCAACCAATTTAAGCACAAAAGAGGCAAGTGTAGACGGACAAATTGGCCAGCCATTTTCTCTCGCGGGCACAGAACAAAATGTGCAAAGAAAAAGGAAAAAAAACAAAAAAAACAAGACAAGTGAAGCACACAATCAAATGTTTTTTTTTCCCCGTTATTCTCTGACACGTTTACACATCTTCACTCCTCGAGTGTTACTGACCATTGAAGCTGTCTCTGGAGGTTGTCACGGCAACAGCTGATATTACAAGCCTGCATAGCATTAAAATTATTGGCAAGTGTTTATTTTAAGGTATATCTTTTTTCTTGCTTTTTTTTTTTTTTTTACAATCGTGTCATTGTGATTTTGGCTAAAATGTTGAATATGTTTCAATTAAGTCATTGTCTCAGGTTGAGATACAAAAATGAACTTGAGCGTGCGTGCGTGCGTGCACTACTTTTGAAAATATGGCTTCTTTTTTGTATTTACCTCGTGTTGCTGGCAGACTTACACATGTAAAACATACAAAAAATGTGCCTCTCCTTGTAGTCTTTTTATTTGTTATTTCCAAAATACTGTATTTAGTCAATTATGAATTCAACGCAATCACTTTTTTAGGGCTTTAAAAAGGATCTGTCGCTGGAAGTATGGTGACGACGTATGACGAGTGTAAACGTTTTCTCGATAAATTGATATTTACTTTGAATTTGGACAAAAAGTGCCACTTAACTAATTTCCCAGCAACAGAAATATTTTTTCATGAAAAAAAGTCAATTACAGTAACATTATTTGATTTAATTGTCCCATACAAATGATTTTAAAATTTTGTACAAAGTCCCATTAAATTGTGATGATGAGTGTAAGGTGATCACACGGCCTTCACAAATGTTTGAAAAAAATATATACCCTGTCTATTCTTTGTTGTGTAAATAGAGGAGCTGTGTGCCTTCATTATGTCAAGAAAAATAATACTGGAGTTTTTTTTTTGTTTGTTTTTCTATTATATTATTGTTTTTACTGTGAGTTTGTGTACAGCTAACTACTTTTTATTACCTGACATTTTTGTAAATGTACAATAAAAATAAACTTTGGAAATGTTTTCATCTGGTGAGTGATGCTTGAATCTTTAAAAAATTTTGGTTGATTAAAAAATATATAATTAAATAGAGGGGGTTGGGGGGGACATCCTTCGTTGTGTCACTATGATTCAAACGCAATTGTATTGAATGCACAGTACTGAAAAGGTAAATATAATGGAACTGTTCTTAGGAAAATGTACTGCACAGTATTTCTCAAACTCAATTTTTCAGATATTTTTTGGGGAGGGAACCGATCTACAGTTTATTGAACTGAGGTCTCATTATTTGGCAAGCAAGAGGCTGCTCTTGGCCAATCGGATTATTTCCTGTCGTTCCTTCAAAGTCTGGAACGTGTTTTGTAAATGTATCGCGTTACAAGGCGTCAAGATTGGCTGGCTTCCTGTGAGCGACAAAGCACCCCAGGGTCGTTTTTACCTCCGCAAAACGTATGTTTTCTTTTTGCCAAGAACATCTCTAGGGGGCAATTGAACTTTGGTGACACACTTTGGACTTTTTCAACAGCATTCAGTTACTGCAAGCAAATAAGACACTGTGTGTGTGTGTGTGTGTGTGTGTGTGTGTGTGTGTGTGTGTGTGTGTGTGTGTGTGTGTGTGTGTGTGTGCGCGTTTTGGTCTGTGTGCATGAGTTTTGGTCTCGGTTGTGGTACTCTGAACTTTTTCAAAAGTCTCAACTTACTGCAAGGTCGTGTATCGGCATGTGTGTGTCCTCAAAAATATGAGTGAGTGTGGCAAAAAAGGTGAAACAGTAATGAATATAAAGTTCGGTCAAAGTGAAGTGGGGAAAAAGCAGGTTGCAAAGGCTGTTTGATTTTTGGCATTCTATTTAAGGGAAGTCAAAAATGTTGAAAAAAACTTGTTTTTTTTTTAAACTAAAAACATATTGAGAACGGATCAACAGGGTTCTCATTCACTTAAGCGGAGAAGGTTGATTTGACTTCATACAAGGGATTTTAGTTCTGACAAGCATGGTCAAATTTCAACTTTCAAGTCAAGGAACAACTGAATCTTCGTGCGATCATGGGCTAGTGCATGCCTCTTAAATTATGCTAAGATAATAAAGCATGTGCTAGGCTAAGATTGCGCTACATGGAATTCCTACACTAAAAAAACTCACAGTAATGTCACCATTAGAATTCTAGGGGATAAGAGTACTATCAAGTTGGGTTACGAGACAGCTGGAGTTTTCTCAGATGTGCAGTCATGTGGTGTTGTACTTTTTTTTTTTGGTCCAACTGGCAAACCAGTAATGAACTAAACCAAATCCTTTTTCTTGCAAAGATGACCAGGCTTGGGCCACATTCAGGGAAGCCAACCCGCTATTTTATTTTGAGGCATTGTTCCCTCTAATTTTCCATGCAAGCATTCCTTGGACTACAGTGAGCAACATTAGATATTCACATGATGGCCGAACCAATATCACACCTGGGGGCCCCTAACTTTGTTTGCCTTTGGCCTCCAAATGTCTTGCTACGGCCCTGGCAATTGAGAGGGCAACATGTTTTGACAGCCGAGAACCATCTCATTCATGTTCGGATAATGTCATGGGAGTGGGGTGGCTAAATTAAAAACAACACAGATTACAAGACTCTTGATCATGTAACTAAGTACTCAGTGGACCAGACAACAGATATAAATGTCCATTCCATCCAGTGTTGTTCAATCATTGAAGTTGTTCGCATCATCAAATGCAAGAATGTGGTTGATTTTGATGTTGTTGTTGCATCATACAATCTGTGGCATCCAAACGCTCTCACGCAGCATGTGTATTGAGTGGATTACACGCTGTGGTCATGTCAATGTCCCGTGTGGTATTCCCGAATGCCTTTGATTCCTGGCCTTCACGGGATTATTCACAGCGTAATCGTGTCGGAGGATGAATGATGCCATTCATAGAGGTTAGCAGCCACCACGCCATGTTTACCAAATGCGCCCCCCGCTTTCCTTCTCCTTCTTCTTTTTTGCCGACATCTGTCATATGTTCCCAGAGAGCTCATTGCCTTGAATAAATTATGACAGGCATGATTTGGCGCTTGTGGAGCTCCCAAAAATAAAAATAAAAATCCCAGTTCCTTATTAGCTGCCTTTGGAGCATGTAAATATGAAGGCATGCTCAAGCAAAAGTTGATTCCAAAATCAGACGTAGTGGAAATCCCAATATAGTTCACATTATCACAGAGGGACTATTAATGCTACGGATGTGCTCTTTTTTGCAATAAGACTCATTGATGCCACAAGATGATGCAAGCATTTTTTTTTTTATCTAATAGACAAGGCTAATGCTTGACTAAATGAAGCTGCTCTCTTGATTAGAATAGGTCCTGGGCTCCAAGATGGCACCAAAGTAATAGTTCACCGTCTTTGTTATAAACAAATAATTTTTTTTGACAAAAATGAAAAGGGGGGGGGCTCAATTGTCACTCTTCACAATAAAGTGGTTGGGAATCATTGTCCTGAATAGCACAAAAAACGAATGTATCTATTGTTTTTCGGTCAAACACTGCAAGTACTAGCCTGCATCCCATTTGGTCATCTTTTTGTGTGGTGTCCTAGTTGGCCTCGTACCACAGATGTGTTTTGTCTGCGGCTAACCAGGTATACAAAATGTCATCCCCGCGCTTATGCGCGGGATTACACATCAGTGCTGCCACTTGGACCCGTGCCCGGCGCCTTATTACTGTGCAGGCGTAACGCTGCAGTCAACCATCACAAAAAAGGCCAAATAAACCCAATGCTGAACATACATTAACACCCTGCGGTTTTGCACATTCGACATTTCAAGGAAGATCATCAAATGTCCAACTTTCCATTGCACGCGCACACCAAGACGGGGCAGTCAACAATGTTCGCCGCTAGCTGTTTGGTTAACAGGATGTTAGCGTGCAGTGGCTAACAGGACAAAACACACTGAAAAGGAGGATATCCCCCGTTGTAGTCTTCTCATTCTCTTTGTTTGCCCTCTTTTGTTAGCGCCAAACAAGCATGCCTTCGACAGGAAATAATGCCAAAAACATTCACCCATTTGTTTATGAGATTGTATTTACAGCGGTGCCTGGAAATACGAGATTTGTTCCACGACCACGCTTGTAATGCAAAATGCTTGAATTTCAAATCATCATTCCCCAATGAAAAAAATTACATGAATCTGCTACAGCCTCGTAAAAAAACAATACGAGTTGTAATGCGTTAGGAAAAATAACATTCCATATTGTCGACAAAAACAGAGAACTGACATTATTAAATAGAAAGGAAACATGTCATTTATGTTTTATTTCAGTGGACACTGTGCTGCTCCTTCTGGTGATGCAGAGACACACCAAGAAAACGGTCAGTAAGCCGCAGAAATATTAGCCATTTCTCACAAAGGATAAAGATTACATGCATGTGTATGATAAAAGTCTGCATGTGTCTATGAAACTATGATACAGATGCTATTAGTTGGCCTACCTAAGGTTTTAAATATTCACGACATCCGTGGTACTACACTGGAGGGGCCAGCTTCAAAATCTGACTTGCCTGTACTCTGTAAAAACCCATAAAAATGTTCACTGAAAAATTCAATTCACTGGATGTGTTGTGCGTGTGAGGATATCAGCCGCATGAGTACTGACAAACAACTGCGAGACTTTGGCGCCACACTGTGGTCGACTTGTACTTGAGGCATTGTGTTCATTCAAAACTAAAACTGTTATTATTACTGAGTCATGTAAATTGGCTAGCAATACTTCATGGTAATAAGATGGATGGAGGGAGGAGGGCAACAAAATTAACACACACACACACACACACACACACACACACACACACACACACACACGCAAGCATATTGGTTCAGTTCATTATACATGTG